TAAACTTCTTACATATCGTTTCGTAACTGAGATTGATAAACACAAGTGTTTTTAAAAACTTAAAACCTCGTTCCCTTTGTAAACATGCTCCAAACATTTCCAATACTTGTTTTAAAAGATCAAACAAAGAAACATTCAAAATAAACCATAGCAAGTCAAACATTGTTTCGCATACCGGGTAAAATTTTAAGGGAAACCCAAAATGCATACGAGGTAAAAATGTGAATGTAGTTCGTTACTCTGAAAATGCAATAAAGCTTAGCCCGGGCGGGCACTCCCGTCTCCATACAACGCTCCCTTCAATTTTCATATTGATTTTCAAGTATCTCTATATGAAATTTTATCTTATACTTAGTTTATCAGACTCGTGCACAGACGATTCAGTGGCTCAGATATTTTTAATAGAGCCATTCTTTAAGCGCTGCAGCGTGGCGACCACCCACCCTCTGGCGAAATGCATCAAAGAAAAATCCAAAGCATTTAGTGGATAGAGAAGCCAAAGTACCTATATTTCTAAATATTACGCGGTCGTTTAGAAAACTGCATCCACATTCTGTGCAAATAAAAATTAAACACTTAACGCTATAAACATAAAACTTGAACAGCTGAACCAATATTTTTTCCAATACATATTCGTTGAAATCAACAACAAATGGAAAAATTTAAAAAGTAAAAAACGCAACTTGAGCGGTGAAAACTGCGGCAAAAGCCATTAGTTATTTACAAAATATAAAAAAAAATGGCTACCTATGCCAAAAATGATGGTACGAAAATCTATTGCGCGGAGGGCGATTCACTCCGCTTTACATCGGGCAGTCAAAAGTTTCAAAAATAAAAATTAGCAGCACGAATAAAAATTATTGCAGAACAGCGTGAACTCTCGCCGAACTGTTAGCGCTAGCAAGTACCAACTTTGTTAAATTCAGCTAACAGGCATCGTGTCAAAGTGATGTAAAAGCTTTTTTATTTTAATTCCGCCTACACGGCTTTGGAGCGTCCTTTTAACGCGGGACCGTACTATAAATGTCATCCAAATATAGATATGAAATGTTACGAATATTTTTGATACCACTGCTTACTTGGTAATGGATTTTTTCTCTCCAGTGTATGTAAAAGAAAAATTCAATTTCATCTCTGATGGAAATTTTGGGAAATGTTGGCGAAAGTTAACTATTATGTACGAATATGGACTACGGAGAGGAAAAAGTCGAACGAAAGAATAGCTGTTAATTTTTAACAAGTCAGAGGAAATCATGTTCCCTAACATTATTAGACGTAAAGAGAGAAAATGATATTATGCGAATCTAATAATAACTGATTTGGGAATAGAATATTATTTCAACTATATTATTTATTTCACAATTATCCTAGAAAGCTTTTAGACAACACTAATATCTACTCCGAGCATATTCTCTGAGGAATGAAATATTAAATTAACGTCTAGCTGATATTGTTTCTTAATAGTATCTGAAATTGCACTCGCTTTGGAATAGCAGTGCCAATCCAGTTCATGCGGCTTCAATACAGCTGGGTTGCATCGGAATGTGACAGTTCCTTGCTTAATGTATCCAAATGGAATTCGGCACTCACTGGTATTCGAAAAGGCACTATCATTTAATACATTCAAACCAATTCTATTCTCTCTCGACGTGCAAACTTATAAATAGCTCTCATGAATAGGTACTCGAAGCTTGGAGGCTTGTAACTGGAAATGTTCGATGTGACTTTTTAAATTGTATTCAAACAAACGTTTAAAGTCTTTATTTTAACGCCTGTACTCGTAATGTTGTCTTGTTTTTATGCGACAACTTTTCGTAGATAGGTCAGGATGTGAAATCGAATTAATATCGAAATCGATTCGCAATTCAAAGACAAAATACGTTAAAAGTCTTCAACGCCAAAGGCTTATCAAGCGCCAAGAGCAGATTATTCCAGTATCCGATCCTTCTCGATCGCTGCAAAAGATCGCATTCCGACCCATTGCACAATTGAGCGGATCGGGCTCGGAGCGAAAGTTTTGTACAGACGACAGCACGTCAAGCTTAACACTGTGGCATCATATGTAGTTGGAATAAGAGCGCTTTTGCGACAAAAATGTTATAGTTTGATTGCTGTTGTCTGTACCACCCTTCAGAGCACGTGCCACGCGACGTATCCAACTAACATGTTGGGAGTCCTTTGACATTTTTTGACTATCCTTTATCGTCATACCTACAACTATACGTTCGTTGTCTAAACGAATTCGAATACTCAATTTATTCGCAGCACGTCCCTCGTAGTAGAATCTCTGCGGATTCAATTTTCCGCGCTGCAATAGACTTGAAAGAATTAATTACGTCGTCCATAAGCGCATTTTAACGTTCAAGCGAAAATGTTGCTGGTTATTTCAACGCTATATAAAGTTGTTATTCATAAGATTTTTATTCATAACTGAGTCTATAGTGTTGTAGCGTAGTACTCACATTCACGTGGGCAGATATTATGCAGTCTTGAGTTTCATTGAATCGATTGCATGTCGTATTGTATCGGATTACAATAACAATATAATGTTTTATCGTAAAATTGCGATTCCCTCGGGAATTGGCGTGTACGTTCGTGTCAGAATTGGATTAGCAGTTTGCTTCGTAGTCCCATTTAACCAGTCGAGGATTAGTTTAAGCGTGCGTTTATTCGCACGCGGGGCTTTGCGTGGGGCGGGAGCGGGGCGTAGGCGGACACGATCAAACGTGTGACCGTGTATCAGAGCGTTCATCAACTTGCCGTTTTCCGAGCGTGTAGGCAGCTTTTAAGTGCGCTTTTCCGTGTAGCCCAGATATATTAATGAGGTTGTTAGTTTAATGAAACCCCTAATTAACTTTTCTATATCCCTATTAACGCCTTATTGCGATAATGCTATTCATGTTATATCAGGTGCTATGTTTATTTAATATTAATGAAGCTAAATATGAATATTATTATTCCGAAGCTATGTTCGAAGCTGTTTTTAAACTATAAAAGCGTTTTTATGCAACGAGCATTGTGGCTTATCTCGGAAGTTCGGAACGTGTCATTTTATGCAGCGATGCGGTCAGCTGGCTAATGGCTGCAATTGCGTCGCCAAGGCTTACGCGCGCGGGTCACTGCGCACCGCTCGGGGTCTCTCTGTAACTCAATTCCTGTGTTCGCTTTGTCCGTCTCTTTCACTGATAAGAGGATAATGGAGAAAAAAGACGGACAATGCACCGAAATTGTCTGACTAGATTGACTCCCCTTGCACTTTGTTGCTAAGGCTGCTCTTTTACTATTGAAGGGTTAAGACTATACTAACGTAGTTTTAAAATGTATCATAGTTTTCTAAGCGCCTTGCTTGCGGCAAGACTAATTAGTAAAGAACAAAAATAATCTATTATACAGGGTGTTTCTTGTAAGGTGTCAAGCCGAAGGCAGGTGATAGGTGAGGACTAGACCTATCGATTTCACCCCCATGTATGTTCTACGATTTTTCATAGTTTAGAAGTTATCGTTAATTTTGTGATTTTTTCAAATTGTATGACCCAGTAGGCTTTAAATTTTTTTATCTTTTTTTTGGGTCGACTTTTCTCAGATTTCTTTTTTTTGACAGATTCCCTATTAAATGCAGATTTTTGAAAAAAATAATCAACTTCCTATCTTTGATGCAAGATACAAAATTTTTGCTAGAAACATAAAAAATATGCTTTTAGCGGAACATTCTAAAATTTTCGTGTTAGCTACTCCACTTATAACTCAAGAACGGCTGAACCGATTTAGCTGAAAATTGTCAGGGAGGTAGTTTAGAGCCAGGAGAAGGACATAGGATACTTTTTATCCCGTTATTTATTGCCATTAAGGCGGAACAAAGTTCGCCGGGTCAGCTAGTGTCGTATATTTAGAAGACATGCAGAATACATTGATATTATTTGAGTTGAACCGCTAAAGTCAGTATGATCGAACCGACTAAATCGGTTTCCCACACTCAAAACACGTGAGATAAATAAAACGTTTACGGCAACAAAAGTTTGCGAACAATACGGACTCACCGGACCTCGTTCCCGAATGAGTTATTAAATTACAGATTTCAGTGTAAAGCAATTTCAGCACGCGAAGCTTCAAACTTTAAATTTCATATTCTGTCCATTCAAATTCCATCACTATCTGAAATTAATAGTACATATGTAATTCGTAATTATATGCTGGGACGTGTGAAATCTGGGAATGCATAAATGTTATAATGATTGCACATTCCCCGTTGGCCAAATTCTGAAATGCCATTAATTGTAAATTATGTAAATTTTGCGGTTATTAGACATTCGTTTGGGCTGGCCAATATCGCGGTGTCGATTTTATGTAAACCAACGGAATTTATCAATTTGTGTACGAGTCTACGAGTATTAACCATTTAAATTCATTCGTTCGTTCGTTTCAGCCAAATGACGTACTGCTGGACTAAAACCTCCCCGACCAAGGACTAAATTCATTAATTGCAATAAATTGACATCAATTAAAATAGGCGGAGAGATAAGACTATATTTCAAGCAACTGATTTTATGCTTTGCTAAGTATTTTGTGCCAACTCTGAATTCTGTAATTTTAAGAGTGGAAGTTAATGCACTAGTAAAACATTAAGAAAATAGTTTCAGTGGAATTAAATACTAAAATTGTACCTTTTGGGTGCTTGTTCCGGACGGAAAATAAGTAATTTTAATGTATACCATATTTAGCACTCAATGTTTAATATTAAATGAATTAAGTACCTACCTAAATAATGGCAAAACTTTATTTGTACAAAATATTTTGATGGTTATATCTTATAAATAACTAAACTATCTATCTCTTCAAATCTTTTAAAGGATTTTCCAATAGCCTAATAGTTATCAAGATATTATGGTATCAATATACTTAACTTGAAATAATATTTCCCTAAATGAAATTAAAATGAAAAGCGACATATCGAAACAAAATTTTATTAACATCATAAATTCTAATTTAATTTGGTCACCAACTATGTATTGAAAATAAAAAAAAAGAAGTGCAAATTTTTAATCAGTCAATTGTTATCGCTTGTTCCTGCCTTCAAGGTATCAATATCCTCTTTAATACCGGTGTGCTTCTCCATGACGTGCTGGATGACGTCTCTGGAGCCCAGGAACTGGGCCTCGCAGACGCCGCAGCAGTACTTGCCGCCCTCGCACACCACCACCTTGTGGTTCTTGGCCAGGTGCCGCGCCAGGCTGCCGTGCGACGCGAACACCTTCTTGCACTGGCTGCACCGGTGACCGTTCTCCGAGTGCTTGTATAACACGTGGCTCTGCAGCGCCGCTACAGAATTGAACGTCCTCTTGCAACTGCCGCACGCGATCCCGCTGGGATGGATCATAGAGATGTGGTTGACCAGTCGACGAGATGTAGTGAACGCGCGTCGACATAACCCGCACCAGTACGTCTTAACCTCCGGGTGCTTGTACTTCACGTGGTTCCTTAGAGACAGCTGCGAGTCGTACATTCTCCCGCAGGTCAGGCACGGCCTCTCGGACTTGACGCAGTTCGTGGCGTGCTCGGCGAGCTTGTCGCGCGTCTCGAAAGTCCGGTAGCACGCGCCGCAGCGGTGCGCGTGGCGGTGCATATAGCGCTGGTGCTTCTGCAGGCTCAGCAGTGACGCGTACGTCTTGTCGCACGACGCGCAGCGCACTTCTACGCGATCGCCGAAGTCGCACGGGTGCTTCAAGCGCGCATGCATCTGCAACGTGCTGGCCGATTTATACAACTTCCCGCAATACTTGCACGCGTGCCCTTTCTCAACTGAACCCGACGCAGGCAAGTCCCCTGTGATATACTCCTCGGTGCCCACTTCTACAACAATATTGATATCGGTGTCGTCACTGGTCATCATCTCCCGAAGAACGGCCGTCGAGGCCCGCAGTTGCTCGTTTAAAGCATCCGAATCCAACGACTCCACGTTCACCTCGATATCAGGCTCAGATTTTACACTCATAATTTAAACTGGAACAAGAAAAAAATCTGATATTTTTTTATTCAAACTCCAATCGACGTCAATGAATATGAAGCTGTCAGTGCCACAAATTAAAAAAAATAATCGTGACTGCGTAAAGTGAAAAAAGTTTTAATTAATTTTTTTTTATCGCAAAAAGTTTCGTGTGTTTCGCGGTGCGTTCCATTATTCGATTGTTTCGAAAAATTAGTAATCTATATTTTAATTAAATTATTTTATTTAGTTTCAACGCAATTAAGTTTAATGATTAATATGCATTCAAATGATTATGATTTAAATGATTACGGAACTATTTAAATATTCTTACTCATAACACGTTTATTATTTAATTTATTTACATGTAAAAAAAAGGAAAAAAAAAGAAACTACCTGTACACCTCACATAAATTTCTATTTTGTGCATAATTAATAGTTTCTTTCCTATTTAAAAATGCTTATTTAGGTATTGCATTGCAATTGTACTCTCCTGATTTACCGGCCTCATCAGTAACCTGTAGTGGAATCTTGTACAAAGTACAATTAGAATCCTCCGTGTCGATAAATTGTGGTTGTGGTTGTAGTGAACACTCGAAACGATACAAAACTTTAACAAATAGGAACGAGTGCCTGTCGGCCGCAGACACTTGAGAAATTAACAAGAGCAAATACAAGTTTAAACGCCATTTAGCTGTGTGCCGGCAAATTATGTTGCTAATGACCTATTGTTGCCTCCGTTTCGCATTTAATTTAATCACCCAACAATGGCGTATAAACTTGTAAACTAATTTGGAATCGAAAACAACTTTAAACTAATTACCTACCTTTTTAACTATCACAAAATCTGTAAATCTGCGACAGATGATGTAGTGCACGTTCGCAAATGACAAATGAACGTTCATTTTCCCGCCGATTGTTCTCGATTCCAAATTCAAAATCCGATCCGTGGCGTCTGTAATCTGTGCTGCGTTGACTGTGTGCGTGTGGTTACGTGTACGTTTGGTTCTTTATTGGGTCGCAGTGAGATCGGCCGCGGCGCTCCGCTCGCCACCTGGAAGGACCAACAGGCGACTTACGCGGAACGAGAGTCGCTACCACTCGGGTGAGTCACTACATTGTAAAGAACCTATCGCTCGCTGTCTGTGGCGCGGTCATTGGTGTGATGTCATTCTTGCTGTACTTTTTACTGGGTTTAAGGATTAGACAACCTGCATTCCTGTGTGGTAGGTATGTAAACTTTTGTATGGGTTTGGTTTCTTCTTATGTTATGTATTAGCCGGATCGATAGTGTGTATTTATTGAATTTGTGTTTTGTTATGTTAACATCCGCATAACCTAATTGTTAAGGCGATAGCGACTGCTAGTGAATATCTTTTCGTTTAGTCGGCACCGGCTAATGGACCATCGAAGACGTGTCTGCGACCGGTGGGACAGGTCCAGATCGCAACTTTCTATTTGCTCATTGATTTTTTTTATGCAGAAATAGCCGAGTGTTTACAACACGCCGCACTGACTCGATTGCTTGCGTAGTATGTAAATATAACTAACAGTATTTCACTATTATATTAATATGAACTTTTCTAATATTTTGTTTATAACACCGACTTTTACACGAATACATAACTAGTATGTTGACTAAAAATAATAACACTCTCATCCTATACTCTAATAACGCAAATGCTATTTTGTGTCACCGTTGCTACATACAATAAAAAGCAAAATTAAATATGTATTCTTAAAATAAGTTATCATTGTTGTAAAACAAGCAAATGATTAGGTTATTTTAGTTTAAAATTTTCTGTACAGAACCTACATGGAATGAAAAATTCAAAAATTTCACATTCAAGCGTCGGTAAAATGCGATTGAAAATTAATTAACTAATGGATTAACATATTGGGTCCTCTATTTTAGTAAAAGCTCGTTTTGTTTTACCTTTGCCATTCCGCGGTCCGGTGAATGGAGGTTTTCCGCCGGACCACATAATTTATTCATCCCGGTTTTAGGTACAGCTTAATTAAAGGTTCATTTGAATACTTTGTAGTGACGTCAAATATTTGGGGAAAGTCTAGCGCGGTAGAGGCTTTATCTATCAATCGAGTACAGTCGGCGTCAAATAGTTCGTGAACCCAAAGTAGCCAAAAAGTTGACAACACATCCTTATTCCAATTATAACAAAGACGTGTTGCGAACTAATTGGGATGATGACTGGGTAATGAAATCGAAATTCTATTTAGTCCGTCAGACAGATAATAAAAAATATTGGACACGTATTTTTTCATTTTTTCATAATCAAATAATTACAGTATTGAGTTGAAATGTCGCGTGATGTCACTTTTGAGTAAAAAATCTACATAGGCGTGACGTAACGCGCCATTTCAACTCGATGTAGCACTGTTATTATTTAATTTTGAAAGAAAATAAAAAATACGAGTCTAATATTTTCTAATTATCTGTCTGACGGACAAATAATTAAAATTTTGTCATCTAGCCTATTGGTTACTTTGGGTGTCACGAACTATTTGACGCTGACTGTACATGTACAGGCAATTTAGGCGTCACCAGAATATAATTGCGTCATGGTTGACCAGACTACAACGTTGGGGATTATATCGTGCCAGTGAAAATGATTGGTTGTAAAATCGCTCTTATTGGTTCTACATAATTATAAGCGATTCATTGAAAGCTTAACCAACTTAGATGAAATCCATATTCCTTATTATGACGATATCGTGATATGCCACTGAAAATCACGTATTTTTTTTCTGTACCATACCAAGTAGTTATTTTTTGACGGACATACAATTTAATTTCAACTCGATCCGACTGACCCTTGGGGAAAAATTGATAAGTCTGTGATGGAGTTGCATACACTCTGAAAAAGCAAACCTAATCGAATCAGTTTTCAATTTTTTCATTCTCTTTCTATCCGAGTACCGGGTTGTCTGATTGCTCGAGTACTCGAATAGCGGCTTATCACTCGAGTCACTTGAGAACTCGATATCGGAATCATAACGAAGTCATTCATTTGATATTTAAAGTCAGAGAAATGTTCTTAGATTTTTATACGAGTATTTCTAAAATCCTTATTTTACAAATTCTTATTAATCACGTATTCAAGTGATTTATTTAAAAAGGTAAATATTAAATCATTAAGATTAGTAATATAAAATAATTATTTCAATGATACTGAAATATTTCATAGCATTCATGCTAGCCATGCTTTATCTTTTATGCTTTGTTATCAGGCTGAGAATTACGATGACGTCACATGTCGCTGCCATTTTTTAATAAATGCCGCTCGGCTAACTGACGGCTCTTTCATTTATTTTTTCTAATGATGTCAGTTACAAAGCCATCATAAATACCCGAGCTAGCGTTAGCGCTCCTGTACGCGACGCCGCACGGCGGCGGCTCGGTAGCGGCGTCGTGTGCAGGAGCGCTTATGGCCTCTATTTATATCCAACCAAATAATAAACTTTACAACAATACGACAATTTGTACAGAAGCTCTAGAAAGATTTGTGATTAAGGCCCCTCATTTAACCCATATTTTTTTAAGAATGTAAAATTTCTTATTAACAAAATTCTATCAAAAATGTTAATTTTAGAATTTGTTGTTATTCATTTGTTTCATTAGTGTTGTGTGTTACGACGTCGTTATTTCAGTGCAACACAAACGATGGAATGTTGATTTATTAACGTTAATGATTGGGCACCAAACTGTTTGTAGTCGCAAGGCCACAAATATTCCGCGTGATAGCTTTTTCCCATTCCATCGTTCAACATGTCACGGAAACTGTGATTTTCCCCATTATGAAAAAGCTTTTGCTTATTAATTTTAATTGAAAATTCCATTGATAAAATTCCCTGAAAATACCCTACTGTTTGGTTTTCCAATTACACATCGACGTCGTGTGATAAATTGAATTTTCATAATGAAACCTGGGGGTTGAAATGCAATGAAGGTGTTTTTAATTATCTAGTCTAGTGAATTATCCTTACCGGTGCCCTTAATTAACAGCGAACTATGCAATTATCTGCTATACGGGTCTCGAATTAGATGCTAAAATCCATTTCAGGCTTAATAGGTTTCGTTCTAGGATTAGTTCAGAAACTCGAACTGAATTCGCTGATCCTGTTAAAGCGTATTTCGGTATCTCGCTACCTATAATTGTATTGCTAATCTAATAGGTTCGGCTAATTCTCTCTTGAGTGGAATTATGTAGCGGCTTCTAGAGAGTAAATTAATATGTATTGCTCACTCTATGAGTTCTCTTACGCCCGTATTCACAAACATTACTATGAGTTCTCACAGTATCCGTGGACGCACAGGGTGACACACGAACCAATCACAGAGCTCTATTCAACGCTGTGCTTTCGATTTGTTGCTTCACTTAAGAAAGCATCGTTTGTGAATACGGGGGTTAGAGACTCAGAAGATCAATACGGAACTTAAAACTGGCTTTAAAACTTCACTGGCCATCAAAACTTAGTATCGCACATTTGAAGTTACTATAACTTTTTAATGTTCGTAAGTTTATAACGTTAGCCTAACTTTTACGGTGGCTTTTTCTGTATATTCAATAGACTGTAATTCTTCTTACGTAACACCAAAAAATCAGATTTTTATGCATAATTTTTGGGAAATGATTAGAAGTTGTTTCCACATCAGCCAGATAGTTTTGACAATTCCAACTCCTTGCCAGACAGTTTTTTTAGGGTAGCTCCCAAAGCCACGATGACCCTAACTTTATGATTTTTTTTTTTTTTTTTTTTAAAATGCTTAAATCTAAAAATTTTCTCAGATAACTATTTGCCCAAGGATCTATGCTATAGGATATAAATGTTTTTTAAATCGTTTTCACAGTATTTTTATAAAAATTTCAGCTTGTAAACTGACGCTAAAGTGGAAATTTACAAAACCTGTGTGGACTTATCTTGATAGAATTCTTAAATACTAAACTAATCGCAATATTTTCTCAATTAACTATTTAGACGACGAAATTGCCTAACTATTTATGCCTATAACATATTTGTAGTATTACTGGTTAATGATTGTAACGAGTTGAAAAAGTACTGTTTTTGCGCCAAACGGCGTAAACGCTCTTAACTTCCAAATTGTTTTCCGTTGAAATCCTTGTTTCACCGTTGGTTTAAAAACTAGCGAAATATCGTTTCATGTATCTTGTAGCAGATTTTATTCGTTGGACGTTTCGTCAAAGCAAAACGTCAAAACTGTGCTGGCAGTCCGAAATGTCGGTTCGGACTTCCATGTAAATCCATTGCGGCAATAAAAAAGAACGTCGATGTCCCTACCTACACTTCTTGTTAGCATGTTTCAATATCAGTTCCAGCCGTGCACTTGCTAAAAATTGAAACTTCGGATTGAAATATCTGGTGAATTTTGTCGTGTTTTTACTTGGATTTGTGCGGTCGAATTTTCCGGGAAATTTTCGCGCCTCCTCCCAACCCCTTTTCGGTTTGCTCTTTTAATAATATGCGTAGTGTTAATTTACATCACTTCAATTAGCTCTAAAACGCATGTGGTTAGTACACTGATTGGAAACCGCAAATCAGTTATAAGCCACTTCGTTTACATTTGATGTTACATTTTTGTTCCAAAACATAAAGTTAGCTCGATGTACGACCCGTTTAAACTAATTAGTGCCATCGCATTCAGAGTAAGTCACTACAAGACTGTATAAAAATAAAATATCGAAAAAGTTATTAAAGTATCTAAAAATACAGATAATTATGTATAAAGAAGCGAAGACATCTTCGCAAGATAACGACGTTATCAGATG